TCCCTCACCGCTGGGGTCTCAATCTGCACCCCCTAATGGCAGTGAGGGAGGAAGTGGGGCTGGAGTAGGGACAGGTCCTGCAGCTGGGGCAGGGAAGGATGGAGCCGTGAGTGGCTCATCTGGGGAGCACATGGTGGGGCAGGCCCCCCAAGGAGGGCATGGGAGCGCATGCCACTGGAGCTGCACACTGGGCAGCAGAGGGTGGGCTGCAGCTGTGGGCTGGGGCCAAGTTCTTCCCAGTGGGGGGAAGTAGCTCTCAAAGGTGGGGTGCAAAGAAGTAGCTCCCAGAGGTGGGGTGCTACTGATCACCATAGCCTTCTTCTCCCCCTGCCCCTTCCCCCCACCAAGGACACGGGGGCTGTGCGCCTGGGATCTGCATGGGGTGGGGTGGCTGCCACTGTGGGCTGTGGCTGGGAGGCTGCACTGGGCTGTTCCTGGTGGTGGCTGGGCTGTGTTGCATTTGGGGCAGAACGGCAGCACTGAGAGTGGGGTTTGGGGGGCTACAGCAAATTTTCAGGTGGCTGCAGCACCGACACTGCCACCACCCAGCCTGAGTGCAGCCAGGCCCCGCCACTGCTGGGAACAACACTTTGTCCTCCCTGGGACTACTCCTTTATCTTTGTCCTCCCTGGGACTACCTTTTCCACCCTGTCCAAGTCTCAGAGTCTCATTCTTTTCAGGCCCAGTCAGTCACACTTGCAACAAAACAGTTACAAAGCTATCGTGTTCACCTGGTAGGGGATAACAGTACACACCCAAAGCGATGAAACATGAAGTCATGGAGAACCAGCCATAGAGCAGCCTCAGTGGCCTGCTGTCAGCAAGGTTGTCTGGGGTGGGGGGCACAAATCAGGGCAACTGCCTCAGGTCCTGCACTTTGGGGGGCCCCGTGGAGTGGCCGTGGCTGTGGCCTCTCCTACAGGGCCCACCTAGTGCTGGTGACTGCACCACCAACGCCGACTTTGCATCCAGCCACTCACCAAACCAACCCCGCCCCCCACATCAGCTTCTTTGCATTCGGGCCCTGCACAGGCTGATTTGCCTTAGGCCTCGTATCTTGCTGGGATTGTCTCTGGCTGCCAGGCCTGGACTGCCATCTGCCCTAGGGTCAAACAGACGTCCTACTCACAAAACTACTTTACAGGAATTATTTAAAGCAAATTCTGCTCACACTGAGTCCCCCAAAGTGTTCCCATAAGAACTGCAAGCTAGAACTCAGCCCCTAGCCTCCTTTAGCACAACTCTGGTGTGGAGGACACTCACTGAGAACTGTCGCTGAAGGAAACAGTAATGCCACTGAGATCTGAGACAGATAAGCAACTAAGCTGCCATGTATGGGACTGTTGCACAAGTATTTCTGGAACAGGCACCACTCTGAGATATTCTGCACATCCTCCCCACCAGATCTGGCTAGGAGGCAGCCACAAGAGGGGACAGTTTTAACTGGTGACAACTTCTTACTTACAAGGCCATTGCTCCTGGGTACTGCTCACATGCAGAAACACCAGCTCTTGTCTTCATTGCTTTTGTGTAACTGACTGAGGTTAAGCAGGGTTACCATATTTCCAGTTTCAAAAAAGAGGACACCTGTGGGAGGGTAGGGGGGTGTAGGATTGTGGGGGAGTGGCAGTGCCCATGCCCTGCTCCTCACTCTCAAGCCACAGACCCCACCCCAGCCCTGCTGCTGCCCCTCACTTCCAATGCACAGTACCCACCCCCCAGACCATGCTGGTGTTCCTCACTCCTGACCTGCAGCCCCCTGTCCCACCCCCAGCCCTGCTGCCCATGCAGCTCCCTGCTGCCCCTGGAGAACCCCCTTCCCCTGCCTCCCTGCAGCTCCAGTGTTGGCAGGCACACGCGCATGCACCCCCCCCCGCCTACAGCTGCTGGGGCCTGCGTGCTGACCACATGATGCCCCAGACTCCAATCACTTTCCCTCACTGCCCCCAGCCCCAAGCAGCTCTTTGCTAAGGCAAGCAGGAAGTGCCAGGAAAGTGGAGGCAGAGCAAAATCCCACACATTTGCTGATATTTTAAAAAAACGCCTGGATGGAGAGTGGAGGACACAAAAAGAGGACATGTCCAAGAAAACCCCGGACGTATGCTAACCCTAGTTAACCACTACTCCATGCTGTTCATCCACGTGGACATAACTGACACAGCTAGGAACAATCCTGGCTGGGTCATGAGAAACTATAGGGCTCTGGGGGCTGGGCTTAAGGGCGCAGGTAGTTTTCTTCTTGGTCCTCCCAGTTGCAGGTCATGGGTACAGGGGGGATAGATGCATAGAAGAAGTAAACAGAAGATTCCAGCAATGGTGCTACCGTGATAGCTTCGGTTTCTTCGACCATAGCATGCACCTCAGGGACTGTGGCCTGTTGGGAAGAGATGGTATCCACCTCATGCCAAAGGGGAAGAAGCTTTTCTTGGCTAGAATGGCGGACCTTCTGGATAAGGCATTAAACTGAGATCATTGGGGGATGAGTCATCAACCACTAGCACAAGCCCAAGAAATGGCAACCTTGAAACCAGCATCTCAGGGTACAATAGGAAACATTCTCCGACACCAGCCAATGGACAGGTTATTCCACAGCTCACCAGGAAGCTTAGGGCCTCCAGTGGCAGGCTTAGCTACCTGTACACTAATGCCAGAAGCATGGGAAACAAGCAAGAGGAACTGGCTCTCCTCCTATCCAACAACCAATATGACCTCATAGAGATTACAGAGACCTGGTGGGACTCCATCTATGAGTGGACCACAGGCATAGGGGGATACACCCTATATGGAGGGATCCTGTTGGGAAGGAGGGCAGAAGAGTTGTTCTCTATGTTAAGGAACATTACACATCCTTAGAAGCGAAAACTGGAAACAAAGAAGGGTGACTTGAGACCCTCTGGGTCAAGATATGGGGAAAGCATGGGGAAGGGGATTTGAACATAGGATTTTACTACAGTCCTCCAAACCAAGAAGAGCTCAACCAGGAATTCTCTGGAGAACTGGCAGAGGCTGCATGCTCTCAGAGCATGTTCATCATGGATGACTTCAACTACCCAGACATCTCGTGGGATGAGCACTCAGCAAGATCTGGTTGCTTACAAACCTTCCTCACTTGCATTGAGGAGCTCTATATAGCTCAAGAAGTCTATGGGTTGACCAGGGGCAAGGCACTCCTAGACTTGGTTCTGGCCAAAGGGGATGACCTAGTGAACACAATCTAAGGATTGAAGAGAAACTGGGTGACATTGACCATGATATGATCACCTTCTCCATCCACTGCAAGTCTGGGAAATTGGTCAGTAGGGTTGTAGGGTTGAAATCCTCGATTTTAGGAAAGCTGACTTGCACAAGCTCAGGAGATTGGTTGGTGAGGCCTTGCGGGACTATGGACTGATGAGGAAGGTGGTACAAGGAGAGTGGTTGTTTCTCAAGGAAGTGATCCTAAAAGCTCAAAGGAAGTCCATTCTCTTCCATAAAAAAGGCAGCAAAAGGGCTGGGTGACCTCCTTGGCTCAATACCTTGGATCAGTACTTCCTTGACCTCCTGAAATCAAAACAAGAAGCCTACAAGGGAGGAAAGACAGAAATAACTACTAAGGAGGAGTACTTAGCAATAGCCCACACATATAGGTAGTGGATCAGGACAGCAAAAACACAAACCAAATACAAATTGGCAACCAGAATCAAGGACAACAAAAAGTCCTTCTTTAGATATGTAGGGAGTAGGAGAAAAAATAAGGGAAGCATAGGACCCCTGATGAATAAAATAGGATGGCTGAACTCCTAAATGAATATTTCATGTCAGTATTCCACCAGTCCAAGGGTGTTAGCCTGCTTGACAGGATACAGGATTATCATGGTGGGGGCAGCCACCTTCCCATAGTTGGTGTAGATCTTGTGGGGGACCACCTACAAAGACTAAATATCTACAAGTCAGCAGGAACAGATGAACTACACCTGAGAGTGTTAAAAGAACTGGCCAAAGTCATCATGCAACCTATGGCCAAGTTATTTGATGACTCGTGGCGCTCAGGAGAGGTCCCAGAAGATTGGAAGAAAGCCAATGTGGTGCCTATGTTTAAGAAAGGGAGAAAGGAGGACCTGGGGAATTCCACATCAATTGCCTGAAGACTGCTTCAGGCTAGACATAAGGAAAAGCTTCTTTACAAGTTGAATACCAAGGATTTGGAACAGGCTGCCTCCAGAGGTGGTACATTCACCCACCCTGGCAATCTTCAAAAAGCGTCTTGATGCCCATCTTTCTGGGGTCATCTGACCACAGCAGTCTTTCCTGCCCTAGTGCAGGGGGGCTGGACCCGATGATCTGTAAAGTCCCTTCCAGCCCCTAACAATTATGAAATTATGAAACTATTGCTGGTGAGAACAATCCCCATGCCCTGGCCCCCATTAATCATACACACTGTGTCAAACTCCTCTAGTATAGGCACCTGACCAGACAGCAAGGGACCCCAACAGCCCACTTTGACCAGTTCATATCCTGCTTCAGATATGCACTGTGGAAAGCCAGGAACCTGCTCATAAACAGACACTCAGACCCCACAGTCAAGGACTGTACTAAAATGGGACTAAGTGAAATGTACCGCTACTACAGGCAGACAAAAGAGGATGACGGGAAGGAAATGGTGGACCCCATATGGTGGAGAGTGGTTTGGCATAGACTTTTTCAGGGGCAGGCCCTCTGAGGATGGCAGTGGGTGAAGGTACAGGTATGGAGATGGGTGCGCGGGCACGCAGATATGTGGTGCAAACTGTGTAACGGATTTTTAGTGTGATCTGCCAAGTGAACCACAGGGCCTCTTGGCAGTGTTGCAGGTGGAGTATACAGTAAAATCCCTGTTATCTAGTATGAGTGGGGAATGCTGGGTGCCAGTTATGTAAATAGTCTGGTTATCTGAGGCAGATAACGCAAAGTGGAGGGCGGGGGGAAGGACGGGGCAGGTGGTGGTGGGTGCATGCAGTGTGGTGGCAGCGCAGGGTGGTGGGTGGTGGCAGCTGCTGTGTGCAAGCTTTCCTTGCCCTGCCCCCTACCCCCCCCGCCCCCCGTGTCTGGCCGGACAGAAATTCTGGTTAATAGAGTATTCCAGCTTGTAGAATGCCGGATAACAGGGATTTTGCTGTATATATATTTATTTCTATGTATAGAAATAAATATTTTTACAAAAAAAAGAAAGAAGAAAGAAAATTAACCCCCCCGCAAGGCTGTGCTAGGGTCTCTGTTCTTAGGGTTACATTTCAATAAGCTCAATTCTGAGCCCCTCTCTTCTCCACCCATTTTCCAGCTTTCTATTAAAGAAAAAAAGAGTTCCTTTCACCTTGAGACTTTTCAAATGTAGTTTTCTTCCAGAGAAGGATTTTTGGGGGGCGGGGGAGAAAGTTTGAGGTTAATTGAACAAGGCATTTTTGAGATGTTAGGCTTTGGAAAAACTAGACTGACACTTTGGAGGGAAATCCCTCTCCCAAAAGTCATGTCTTAAAAAAAAAAGAAAAATCCCCATGCCTAGAAATTTCAAGTGTGCTTTATCCCTCCTGGCCTTATGCCTTCTTATTCTATGGGAAGCAGCGCAGAATACTGTTTTTAATAAGAGTGGGTAGTTAATTTCAGTCATTCATTATGCAGTTTCAAAGCCTGAAGATATATGACATCTCAGTGGATATTATAAAGCATACAGCTTGGCTTTGTAGAACTCAGAAGCTTCATAGACAGCCAGAAGACACCATTGGGTCAATGAGCCAGACTGCTCCCATCAAGGAATTTACCAGCTTACCATTGGCAAAGCTCTTAAGTTTCATGAGAGCTGTTTTCTAGTTCAAGGAGTTTTCAAGCGCTGCCAGCAAATATGGTGGAACCTGCAAGTACATTGTGCCAAACAGCTGTTCACAGGACATATACTCTGCAGTCCAAGGACCATTAAACTGAACAGTAACTCTGAAGAGAACAATAGAGATGTCTAAGAGGAGTGTGTTCAAAACTGCCTATATACATGGGAGCCCAGAATTGCTTAGTATTAGATAATTGTTGGTTAACTGAAATTCCCTTGTTTTTTAAAAAAAATACAATTTGATAAAAGTATTTTCATCACCGATAGGCAAAAATGACAAAATGGAGAAAGGCCCGAGAAAGGCATTCTCTAAAGAAGGGTCTTGTTAAACCGTTGCAGCTCCAGAAGACAGAATGCTTGAATGTCAGAGAATTCCAGGGTGGGTCACCACCACCTTGCTTACTTCTCATCCCTGATCAGGACCACACTGCCCATAGGCCAGAAACCCCCTTACCAAGTCACCTAGCTCATCTACGCTGCCAGTCAAGACTGCTCTCACTGTTCATTCGTTATGGAAGGTACATAACATTCACCACAGCCCTGACCTCCTGTACCCCATCCATCACCAGCTTGTATGTCATTTTCCATACACAGGTTTGAGACAAAGCCACTCAGCTCATCTTCACACTGTGGCCTCAGTACCACTGTATCTTGCATTTAACTTCCATGCTACATCCAGAGATGATGCCAATCCAGCAATCTACTCTAAATAAAAGAAACCAATACCCAGATGAAAAACCTCACTGTGCCGTCTTCACTCATGCTCATGACACCATGCTTACAGCCTTGTGCAGTATTAGCTTAAAGATCTTGCCCAACCTAACTCGCATCCATGCACAAGTCTCCAGTTTGCCTTAAAATCCATCCAACTGGGTTGACAAAGTCAATCCAGCCAAGGACTCCACTTGCTAAGTTGGTATAATACTAAGCCTATTGGTGAATAGTAGGCAAAGATATAAGCCATGAACATGGAGCTGATAAAGGGAAGCTGTGGCATATTGACTCTGGACCTTTCTGACTTTCGTATGCCAGAAATCCTTTGAACCATAACCTACACAGACATTTTTGTTGAAGGCCTGTATATAAACTAAATGCAACTTTACCTTGAAGAGGTTTTGTGTTGGACTGGACCCCCATCTCATGTCTGCCTTGAGAGAATTTTCCTAGTGTGGGGAGGGCGATGGTTATGTCATCCATGAGACAGAAATCAGTATCAGAAGCAAAAGCAAACAGATGTTCACTGAAACAACTGCTAGTTGTTACCAATGACACCCAAGCCTTGAATAATCATCATTGCATGGCACCATCCCTAATTCATTTCACAGGACTATAAAGTATGATTGTAACTGACCACAGGAGGGAAGAATTGCATTCGCTTGGCTTCTGTATTTTGAAGCCAGGCACAGTGGGGTTTTGTGTGTTTACATTTCTTTAAAAAGGAGACTGTGTTCACAGAATATTGCTGCTATACGTCTCTCGGTGCTGCTCAGTTGAGAATCACAAAGCATAGACAGAGCATTGGTTAAGAAACCTCCACAGGGCTCTGAGGTAGGCAGCGGAGATACCAGATGCTTTTCACTCACTACAGAAATGCAGCCACCTCTCAGGCGGATAGCTTAGCATTCTCTGAGAATATTTACTGGATTGATACCCTGGGGGGAGCATTTATGAATCCCAGCAAGGCTAAGGTATGAGATAGGCTTGGTCTCCTGGGAAGCAGATCTCTGGAAAGCTTTAATATGGGAAACTGAGGCATCTGTAGATTTGAGGTGCCTACAGGCAACAGCTGAGAGGGAGTTTTGAGGATCTAAAATTTAGACTTTGGTGCCTAAGTGTAGTCCAGTGGCTTCTACGCCTTAGCTTTTCCACCAGAAAAATGGGGACAGTTGTTCCCTATCTCAGTGCGGGTTATGAGGATCCATCTGAGTGTACAGGGGTGGAATGTTAATACTTCCTTTAGCTTGTAAAAGATGTTGTGAGATATTTAATAAGTAGAGATCTTCTCTTTTTGTTCTTCATTTCAGCTAGAGATGGACCTCCAGCAGCACAGCACCTCCTGCCACCAGGCTGGCACAGGCTGAGCAGGGAGGGCACATTCTCATGAGCAGCCTGAATTCTGTGCTGGAGCACCCTGGCTTTTTTGAACGTCTGTGATCCAGGCACCAGCCAGGATCAAACCAGCACAACTTTCAAGTTCTGACAGGATCATAGCAGAAAACGCTAGGCCTGAAAGAGGTCTGCCACATGGGTTGGGCCAGGTAGACCTGTGTTTGGAATGACAGACAAGATTTGGAATGGCAGATGAAAGGCCTACTGTGCAGGAATGGAGTTCCCAGGATCAGCTCAGACAGTGCAGGGGTGATGATGAACCACTAGAGGCCTCTTCCTGTCCAAATATGAGTACAGGAAAGAGCACAAAAATTACTTTCCTTGTGCCTGGTATCTTGTCTTATCTGGCAGTAGCAAACACCAGGTGTCTAGAAAATTATACAATAAAAAGCCCATGAGAAAAGCTCCATCCTGTTACTGGGGAGTTAATAGTTACCTTAGCTTCTGAATCAGGACAGCTGATGACCTTTTCATCTGATTCAGTCTGAAGTAATGGCAGATACTCCTATTGTTCATATGAATGTCAAATCCTTGTGTGAATTCTACTGAGCCTTCAGGATCCTGTTAGGCTATATGTAATAATTTTCTGTCCGTCTGCATTAACCACCTTTAAAGATGAATGCCTTGGAGGCTTCACATATTTTTAGTCCAAAAAAAAAAGAAATTCTTTAATTTCTTAAGTCAAAGAAGGTGTGAGCTATACCAATCCAAAAAGCATCTTCAGTTTACAAAATAGATAGTCTTTCAACTTCATAAATAAACATAGGTGAAGCCATTTTCTTTTTTGAAAGCAGCTCTGTATCAGGGTTGTCCAAGCCATGGCCTGTGAGGGATTAAGCTGCAGCCCCTGGGCTCCTGCCTGGCCATTGCTTGCCTCATTGCTTTGGCTTATTGCTTATTGCTCTGGGATCCCCTCCTTTTTCTGCTTTTTGCTGCCTGATCCTGCCCCAGGGGCTGGGGCAGTGCAGTATGGCTGAAGGAGCTGAGGGTGAGCCTGGAGCCACGTGGGCACGCAATACAATGGTGGGGAGTGCCCACTTGTGCAGCTTGCAGGACATTTGGCTCCCAGCTACTTAGCAGTTGGATATTCCTATTTGTTTTGTCCTTGCTGGATCCCTCATGCCAGGTGTCACTCAGGAGCACAGTTTCATTTGAGATCAAGTCAGAGATTCTGTAGAAAGTGTGGTCCCAAAATACTGAGTTGGACACACTCACAGCATCCTTTTTTACTGCTCTCCAGTAACTGTCACTGATGAAGGCATGTCAAAGTAGTTGTGGCCCTGTAGCGGGGTCATTATACTTCATTAGGGTTTTTGGTTGGTTTTTTTTTTTTGCAGTATATGCCCTGGTGCAACTGAGAAACATGCTCCAACTGGAGAGGGAGAGAAGGCAGAGTGTCATCGTCCTAAACCTGGACCTGGAGAAGGCCTATGACAGGGTGTCCCGTTGGTTCCTGTTCCAGACGCTGGAGTGGATGGGAGTCCCCTTGACCTTCGTCAGATGGATCAGGACCCTCTACCTGGAAGTGAGCAGCTAAGTGCAGATCAGCAATTTCCTGAGCACCTGGATTGTGGTGGAGTTGGGGGTCCAGCAGGGCTGCCCACTCTCCCTGATCCTGTTTATTGGTGCCATCGAGCCCCTGGCCCAGCGCCTGAGGCAGGACCCAGGGATCCGTGGAGTCTACATCCTGGGCAGCAACAACTGAGAGGCCAAGGTCCTGGCCTTCATGGACGATTTGAACATCCTGTGCCGGAACAGGGGGTCAGCTGAGAGAGCCCTGGCGCACATGCAGGTATACGAGGCAGTGGTGGGGGCCAAGGTCAGCGTGAGCAAGAGCAC